AAGACTACTCCCTACTATCCTTGCATAGGTCCGAGGCCGCTTTAGACGCCCGTTCCTCCTAAGTCGTCACAGTTAGGGTGTTACCGGTTTGGGCAGACAGTATAGCCTCTGCCTCCCTTTCCTCTATAGGGTGATCATGACCAGGTTATTAAATACGGAGGGGTATGGCGTGCGTGTACAACTCAGAAAGGCATCCTACGTCTGCTTGTGCGAGGGGCAGATAGAGTGGAATGAAGCTTTGTTAGCAAACGGCCTTATGTAAGTCTTTTCCAAGCTTTGTAGGCACCACGTGCATATGTCATACTCGGTCTATAATCCCCCCTTCACCCGTTCTCTACGCAGTGAAGTGGCAAAGGACAAGCTCCAAGATAGGGAGCTCAAGGACGTTAAGATACTGACTCCAAGCGAGCTCCGACGATTGCGGGCAGCGCATCCACGCACACCAACATGCAGACGGGGTTATTGGACTCTGCTTGACTATCAGATGGTTATCATCCCGCTTCTCTCTGCGTAAGTGATGTATTTTGGATTTGATGAGTATTCACTGCCCTCCGTTAATGCTTTTCAATACATTAATTTGACAATGGATATGATGATGACCGTACAGGACTCCATTCGTGTCCCCTGAGAGCAGAGTTCGAGAGGCTCCCGGCGCATCAATCAGCCTTATGGTTCTGTTGAACCCTAAGGATTTGCTGGCCCCATTGCGCAGCGACTACCGTACGCGCCTCATACACTTCGATCCAAAGTCTGCTATCCCTGGCCGTCGTCACACCCAGTTTGCACTCAACGTTTATTCGTAAGTGTGTTTATGCTTCCGATTACCATATGCCGCACAAGGTAAACATCATCTATTTCCCACCAATCCTTGCAGGTAGCTTGTTGAACAACTCGAGGTCGAGTTCACTAGAGGCCATGTCTATACCGGCGGCCATATGGGAGAGGTTGTCCGCGACATGAGGAATTGTCTCAACGCTTTGAATGTCGATGTTGGCTTGGTATGTATCATACGTTATTCTGCGTCTAGCTAATTTCCGAGTTAAAGGTTTCATTGCATTAATGCATCTCTTCTTCCTGTTGTGGTATAACGCAAATCAACAAGGTACAGGGGCGGTATCAGGTGGGCTCGGGCCTGCATGTGACTCACCTGTTCAGCAAGCTTCTCGACAAATGGGGGGATCTTCTGGTGCTTCAGAACGGACACAACATGATCAACCTCGGCCCGGGTAAAAATAAGGCCCCCGAAATAGGATGAATGTTCGTGTGTCGCTGCCGAGCGTTTTTCGACCAGTACGAAGACGCCGCGCCTGCGAAAGAGAATGAGGAGGACGCCGAGCTGGTGGAGACTACGGAGGAGAGGGACGAAGCTACGGAGGCGAACCAGGATAGGGGAGTCAGGAGGATCGAGGGGGTGGTGGTGGCATCCGTGCAGAGAGGTCAACGTGGGGACGGGAGGCGTAGAGGAGCAACTGCGGTAGTAGAAGAAGCGGCACCAAAGGTTGCGGAAGTATCTTATTCCCGCAGACCCCGAGCTGCAGGAGCTGTGTTGCCTGGACCAGGAGAATGGGGGGCTCGAGTAGATGCCGGGGCGAGGAATGGAGGCCGGTAGCTCAGGTTTTCGGAACGTGTTAGGAGTGTTCGTCGTGAGACAGAGTCGTAGAGGGAGGGTGCTCGGGCCTTGGCCGGAAACGTGCAGGGGATGGAGGGGAGAGTGGCTGTGAGAATAGAAACGAGAATGAAATGACTAAGGGAAAGTTGGGTACAAATGTAAACCCTAGAAAACTGTACCCCATATGTGCTACCCCACTATAGCCTACAGTAGCTATGTCATATAAATCTGACACACCCCCATAGGCAAAGTGGGGGAGAACAAGGGGTCACAAGACCAGTCAAGCAAAGCAAAGCAAGCTCAGGGTGGATCACAAAGTCACCACACATTCCGAGCACAAGTTCAAGGCCACAAGGCCAGTTCACATGCAGGATTACATATACATATAAGGCTAGACAAGCAAGAGCAGGTGTATTTGTATATGCAACAGTACAAACAAGGTCAAGGGGTGAGCAAGTGAGTCAAGGTAGGCACAAGACCCAGCTGAGTACAGAAGCGCTGATGATCACAAGGCGCAAGTGCCTTGGTGAAGATATCAGCAGTGTTGGCCTGAGAGGCCACGTACGCAAGCCGCAGCTGACCACGCTGCTGTAGCTCACGAGCAAGGAAGTAGCGGAGAGCAATGTGCTTCGTTCTGTGCTCCAGTCTCTGCTCTCGACACAAGGCCAGCATGGCCTTGTTGTCTACGTACAGCACTGGAGGAGAACGAGGCGGCTCTCCGAGGTCAGTCAGCAGGTAGGTGAGCCAGCGAAGCTCCTGTGCAGCCATGGCCCCGGCGTAGATCTCAGCCTCACAACTGGAGCCGAGAACAGAAGACGAGCGGGTAGCCCGCCACGAAACAGAGCCGGAACCAAGGCTGAAGGTGTAACCCTGTGACGACCGCTGCGTAGCCTGGTCGTCAGCCCAAGAAGCGTCTGCGTGCCCAGTGAGGACCACTGGACTCTGCCCTCCAAGCACAAGCCCCATGCCCGACGTACTGCACAAGTAACGCAACACCCTCTTCGCTGCAGCCATGTGCTCCGGTCTGTGTCTCCCAGGAGCAACATAGCGTGCGAGAATGCTAAGAGGGTATGCGAGGTCAGGTCGTGTGCAGGTCATCAGGTACATGAGGCAGCCAACAAGCTCTGGGTACGGGCCACTCGACTCTACGGACTCATCCGAAGGCAGAGCTGAGAGCGAGTGGCGAGTAGGCAGAGGAGTGGCCTGAGGCGAGGAGTACGTGAAGCCGAAGCGCTGAAGGACCTGCTGCACCATGTGTGACTGAGTCAGGGTAATGGTGCGGCGTGCTCTGTCCCGGGTGATCTGCAAGCCAAGGTAGCTGCGCAGTTCACCCAGGTCTGTGCACGTGTGTCTCTTCTGCAGCTCGGACTTCACGTGGGCGAGTCCAATAGTGTCAGCTGTGGCAAAGACGAAATCGTCGACGTACACGAGGATGTAGAACGGCGGCAAAGAAGTGTCGGTGCGCAGAAACAGCGACGGGTCGGCAGTAGAGGGAGCAAACCCAAGAGCCGCAAGTGTAGTCCTCAGTGTGTCGTGCCACTCATGCGGTGCCTGGCGGAGACTGTAGACTGGCCGCCGGAGGCTCCACTGGGTGCCAGGAGGAAAAGACCCAGTGAAGCCAGGTGGGCGACGCAACCAGATCTCCTCGTGCAGGCTGCCCTGCAAGAAAGCAGTGCTGAAGTCAAGAGAGTGCAGCTCGTAGTCGCGGTGAGCAGCTATGTGCAGCAGTACCCGAAGAGTGGTCATCTTCGGGGTGGGAGAGAAGGTCTGAAAGTAGTCAACTCCCTGCCGCTGACTGAAGCCACGAGCCACGTAACGTGCCTTGAAGACAGGCGGAGAACCCGGCGGTCGCTTCACCCTGAAAATCCACATGCCACTGACGATGTTCGCCCCAGGCGGGGGAACCTCGTCAACGTAGGTGCCTGTGGACTTCCAGGAAGCCATCTCTGCGTCCATAGCTGCCTGCCACTGAGAGGAGTAGGGACCCTCTATCGCCTCCGCGTAAGAGCGCGGAGTCGGGATGTCAAGTGCATCCGGGTCTCCCTCAGGGGTAAGCAGTACGGACACGAGATGAGGTGAAGCAGCAGCCAAACACTGGAACTCCTCCTGCCTGTCCTCAAGGACGTCCGTGCCAAGGGCACACTCACCCCCGACGGACGGAGGACAGACAGACTCAGACGCAACGACAAGACTAGCAGCGTAGTCTAGACGACAGTGAGCAGCAAAGTCGACGAGCTCAGCAACTAGGGCAGACGCAGCAGTGGACTCAAAGGAAGGGTCAGTGACGACAGTAGCAAGGAGACGCGTGACAGTAGGACTGGCAGCACGAAGAGAGTCCGACTCCGGGTCGGGAAGAGCAGGAAGAGAGGACTCAGGAGGAGAAGGCAAAGGGGCACGCAGAGGAGCAGTGGACGGACGCAGAGACATCCGGTGCGTGCCAGGGACAGGAGGAGGACGCTGACGCGAACCACGGCCACTAGTGCGAGCAAGACGGACAGGCGACGCAGGGCGAGACGCAGGCTCACGACGCTCAGCCAGACCTCCAGTAGGACCAGTGTAGGGAGAAGGAGCGGGCAGTGTGAAGGCCGGCTGTAACTGTAACTGGGACGGGACAGGCTGTGGACACTCTAAGGGAGGAGGAGGACCAGTAGAAGGCGGGAGACCAAGAACCTGCTGAAGGAGCGGAACGAAGTACGGCCGAGGCCGCGCGGCGACTCCAGACACAGCAGGGACAGCACCAGTACCCCCAGCGGCAGCACCAGCGCCAGCAGCACCTCCAGCTCCAGTACCTCCAGCAGCACCAGGAGCACCCCCAGCAGGACCGCCTCCAGGACCGACAGCAGTAGCCTCAGCGCCAACACCCTCAGCAGCTCCAGCTCCAGGCGTACCCGCAGGCCCAGCAGCTCCAGTACTCCCAGTACGAGCACCTCCGGGACCCGCGGCACCAGCACCCGCAGCAGTCGAAGAACCTCCAGCTCCAGCAGCACGCCTCCAGCGTCGGGCAAACCACTCTCGCAGCTCCTGTGGAGAGAGTGGCTCCCGCCGAGACGAAGCACCCGGAGAACCTCCAGGCTCAGCACCGCCAGACGCCACACGAGCAGGCCCAGCTCCCTCAGGCTCCGCACCCCCAGGCTCAGCACCTCCAGGCGTAGCACCCCCAGGCTCAGCACCCCCAGGCGTAGCACCCCCAGGCTCAGCACCCCCAGGCTCAGCACCCCCAGTAGCAGCACCCCCAGGCTCAGCACCCCCTGGCTCAGCACCCCCAGTAGTAGCACCCTCAGGCTCAGCACCCCCAGGCGTAGCACCCACACGCTCAGCACCCCCAGAGTGGCGGCGAGAGAACCAGACGGCAGCAGAGCACCGCGTGCGGTTGACTTCACGGATCGACAGCATGCAGGCGGCCATACAAAGAGATAGCGATCAGCTGCACGTGACGGTAGAGGTTATGAAGGAGGGGATCCTTGCAGAGGTGGAGGAAAGAATGAGGACAGTTGTGAGAGAGGAGTCGCGCCGGCGTGGGCATCGACAGGAGGAAGAGGATCGGGTTGCAGAGGAGGCGAGGAGGAAGCTGGCAGAAGAGGTGGAGCGCCTTAAGAAGCAGCGACAGGACGAGGAGGAGCAACGGGCTGAAGAGGAGAGGAGGAAGCTGGCAGAGGAGGCAGAGCGCCTGGAAAAGAGGCGACATGAGGAGCAGGATCAGAGGGCTGCAGATGAGACAAGGATGAACCTTGCTGAGGAAGTGGAGCGCCTGAAGAAGAAGCTATAGGAGGAGCATGAGCTGCGGGCTGCAGAGGATATGAGGAGGAAGCTGGCTGAGGAGGCGGAGCGCCAGAAAAAACAGCAACAGGATGAGCTGGAGAAGAGGGCTGCAGAGGAGACAAGGAGGAAGCTGGCTGAGGCGGAGAGCCTGAAAAAGCAGCAACAGGAGGAGCAGGAGAAGAGGGCTGCCGAGCAGACACGGAGAAAGCTGGCAGAAGAAGTGGAGCGCCTGAAGAAGCAGCAACAGGAGGAGCACGAGCTGCGGGCTACAGAGGAGAGGAGGAGGAATGTGAGAGTACGACAGCCTGTGATTTACTAGCTTGATTATGCTTTATTATGCATTATCTAGCTTAGCTTTATTTTGTTTTGCTTGCTTTTGCTAGATTTCCTAGGTTCGTTGCTTTTACTACATTTATTATAGCTATAGGCACCGAACTAGGTTACGTGCCCCGAATTCTAGGCTTTTCGGTTGCCACCGAATTGCCTTCTACCGAATTCGAAAAGGACCCGTTCGGGACGCTTCGCGACCCGCGGAACCTTCTAGTAACACCCGGATTACTGCCTTTGTTTCGAGCCTATATATAGCCTCGCCTTGTACCTGGGTGCATTATTCAATAGTTTTATCTTTCCTGAACCAGATCCTCACACTTGGTAATCAGAGCCAGTTTACACTCGAGTTCTTCTTCCGCTTAAAACGTGCCTTTAAAAACCGCGGGGGCGACAACGAAAGCGCCGATACGGGTATGTAAAACCAGTTTCGATCAATTTTTTCTTCAACGGCCGAGATCGGTCGTGAATTTTGACAAGGGGAGATTTGCGCGACGTACAAAATTCGAGCTCGTCGATTGTACAGTCGATTCGACTCGCAGTAAGTCGACCAGCACCCATAATTCAATTATTTTCGTCGCGCTTCTTTCTGTAAATCGCCAAAAGGGAGGGAAATAGAGATTTCTTCATAATAAAAATCGCGGAGTTACGTGCTGAGCATAAGCAGATACGTGCGGCGCTCCCATGACTCGAAAAACTCCTAACGAACCAATCGGTAGCCGTAGCAGCAGCAGAAGCGACGACGACGACACAGACAATTGCATCTGCGACAACGGCAGCATGGGGGCCTCAGCTTCTCTAACTCAGCATGGCAGCATGCATCCTGAGGCCCTTTTGAGGCGCCCCAAAAATACATCCTGGAGGCCTTACTTCGTCATTTTCTCCAACTCATTCTTCCCCCTGCGCCATCTCTGGCCCACTCCCCGCCCCCCTTCTCTCCTTATACCGTCCCCCCTTCCCCCTTCTCTGCCACCCACCAGGCGCTCATCTCAGGGTGTATCCCAGTGACGTTTTTCCGCAAGCACGACAACCCCTGGCAGCGCCGAGTTGACTCATACGTCTCTCCCCCCTCTCCCTCCTCCTCCCTTTACCACCCCGCTCCTCCCCCTACCGCACCCGCCACCCACCAGGCGCTCATCTCGAGGCATCCCAGTGACATTCTTCCACGAGCATGGCACCCACCTGGCAGTACTTGCTCGGTGACTCTTGAGTCAACTCAAACTACCTCCCCAATCCTCTTCCCCCCACCACCCTGCCACCCCCTCTCCCCACCCACCAGGCGCTCATCTCAGGGTGCATACCAGTGACGTTTTTCCGCGAGCATGACAACCCCTGGCAGTGCTTTCCCAGTGGCTCTTGAGTCAACTCAGATTCCCTCTCCAACTCCTCCCCACCCCCCACCCCGTCCCTCCCTCTCTCCCCACCCACCAGGCGCTCATCTCAGGGTGCATCCCAGTGACGTTCTTCCGCGAGCACGACAACCCCTAGCAGCGCTACCTCTGTGACTCTTTAGGTCCACTCATCCCCTCCTCCTTCCCTCCTCCCCTTATTCCCCCACCAGGCGCTCATCTGAGGGTGCATCCCAGTGACGTTCTTCCGCGAGCATGACAACCCGTGGCAGCGCTCCCTCGGTGACTCTTGAGTCGACTGAAGGGTCCCTCCCCCTCATCCCCTTATCCCCTCCCCCCCCCACTTCCCCCACTGCCCCCTCGGCTGCCCACCAGGCGCTCATCTCAGGGTGCATCCCAGTGACGTTTTTCCGCGAGCATGAGAACCCGTGGCAGGACACGCTCAACTACGATGCCTTCTCCGTCAACATCGACCCTGATGACATGCCGACGATGAGAGAAAGGCTGGAGAAGGCTAATGTTGCTGTGCTGCAGAAGGGTGTAGAGCAGGTAGCAGGTGCGTACCGATGTGTGTGATTCGTTTTAAGATGTCTCATTATCACGTAACGTGCCATCATGCGAGCCAGGCTGGAGGAGGCGGACATGGCCATGCTGCAGAAGGGCGTGGAGCAGGTCCAGGTGCGCGCTTGCGTGTGATTTGTGAATGTTAAACGTGCATGCAGCAGGTGCAGGTGTGTGCAGCAGGTGCAGGTGCATGCCTGTGTGTGCGTGATTCATTAATGGTAATCTAAATTGTAAATATTCACATCCCCTCGTTTAGCCAGCTCACGGTGCCATGTGTGTGACTCCATTGCCATTCCGCCCCACCCCAGGCCCTCTTCCGGTGGTCGGGGTCGTGGAGCGAGGGAGCCAGGGCTGATTTTATCAGGGTAATTACCCTGATTTCAGGGTGATTACAGGCTTCTCACTTGGTGGTCCCTGCAATTTCAGAATTTCTGACTTGTGAACACAGATCCATTCAGAATAGTGCTTAACCCTGAAATATTGTATCTAGGCTCAGAGTAGTGTTCTTACTGACTCTGTCAATGTAGAGTACGCGTTCTGTGGACCCTGGATACAAAAGTTCCGGGATATTTCCTCCCGATATCCCCCATGTGCGTAATCATGATTACGCTTGTACCCATGTGAGGGTGCCCTTTCTCCACGATAATACTCACAACTAACACCCAGATGGTGTTGGTGAAACCCTACGGTTTGCACTCGGCTTGTTGTCCGTGTGCGGGCATGCGTGTGTGCATGGAATGGTTTGAGGGCATGGGATAATATATATTTCATGCTTATAATAGTGTGTGTATGATGGGTCATGATGTCGAGTGTGTGTGTGTCGAGTCAATAGCGAGTTTTCGCTAGTCGCGTGTTACGCGGTCATTTGTGTCTCGCGCGCGGTTTCTGTTTTGTCATGTGTCCCGTGCGCGGTTTCTATTTTGTCGTGTGTCGAACGTTCGGCGTGTCGCAGGTGTGTGCAGCAGACCCATCAATAACTCAAGGATGAGTTTGTGATGAAGAACCACGAGCCTTGGTGTCAAGCCTCATGTGATTTCGAAGCTCGCCAAAAGGGTACACTTCAAGATGTTGATGATGGTTACATTACAATGTGTGATGTAACATTTATGTTGGTGTAGACCCTTGTGGAGGGTACTTTCGAGACCCTTCTTGGTTGGGGACAGTGTGGCACTGTTCCACATCACTGTACCTCGGCTCTTGGGGTTTGTAGGAGCTGGGAGTCATTCCCAATTCGTAACTCTTGCTAACTCTTCCCATCTTGTGTTCTAAGACAATAGTGGCTGCCATAGTGCCGTTCGTTCAAACCGACGCTGAGTCGTCAATACTTGGTGAAATCGTGCGATCTAAATTGTCTATTGTAGGCGACGTTAAGACGCTTCAGATCCAAGTTGAATCAGGTCATTTGAAGCTGTGACCAGAACGATATGAACGTCTAAAGCCGCTGTGCAGAAATCCGACTGTGCACTCTATCTTTCGTTTTAGGCACATTGAAGTCTACTGTGACTATAACAAGTGGTATCAGAGCCCCTTGGAGCAGCTACGACTATGGCTGGACCTGAAGAAAGGGGTGGCAGAGGTGCTGGTGGCAATGGAGATGCCCAAGCACAAGGCCAAGCCCGTGAGTCAGCCGTGGCGCCCGTGAGTCAGCCGTGGCGCCCGTGCAACCGACTCTTGGACCTTCTAGGGACGAACCAAGAGTGTTCGGGCTTGACAAGTTCAACGGCGACAACTTTGCTGAGTGGTCCTACAGAATGGAGAACGTGTTTGATCACTATGATCTGCTGGAGGTGATGGAAGGAACGGAGAAGCGTCCCGAGAACGACCCGGAGAAGAGCCCGTGGGTGCGGAAGAGCGCACAAGGCTATCTCCTACTTGGGCAAGCGTTGGGGAGCAACCAGATCCGTCACATCAAGCCTTTTCAGCATGAACCAGAGAAGGGACCAAAGGCATGGGCTGCTCTCAAGGGTGTACACGCTCCTGCAACAGCGGCGGTAGCAGTGGTGTTGGAACGGCAAATGGCGACGCTACGAATTGAGGAAGATGAACCCGTGGAAGACGGGGTGCAGAAATTCTTCGACTTGTTGACGCGGCTTGAGGGAGCTGATTTGAACTACAGTGAGCTCCAGAAGAAGACCAAGTTGCTGGCCCTACTCCCCGAGTCGTGGTCCTCGCTCATCATCAACTTGAACCGTGACCTGCCCCGTCTCTCGCTTGAAGACGTGAAGCGCGCAATCCTACAAGAGGACTTCCGCCGCCGTCAGTTGGCGAGTGCGGATGGCGCTGGGGCAGCAAGCATCGGCCGTGGATATGGCCGAAGAGGCAGAGGACGAGGGGGAGGAAAGTTTGGTGGCAGCAACTTCGGCGGAGGTGGCGGGAGTGGCGGTTACGACAGCGATGACAAGAGCTACGGTCGCGGTCGCGGGCGATTTGACGGTGAATGTCATTATTGCCACAAGACCGGACACATGTGGCGCGACTGCTACAAACTCCCTGAAGGATGGACCCCTGCTTAAAGCCAAGAGGGTAGAGGAGCAGGAGGAGGGAGAGGAAGAGGCCGTGGAGACCGTGGCGGTCGCGGTGGCGGAGCTGCAAACATGAAGAGTGGAGACAACGACAAGGACCCGAGCGACGATCGGTACCCGGGTCTATTCTACTTCGTGTCGACGCAAGTACCGGCTGGTCCAGAGAAGGATGAAGGCTTTGAGGAGCCAGCAGCTGTGGGGAAGGTGACCCTACACCCCCTGGACTATTGGGTGATTGATAGTGGCGCTACCTATAGCATGACGCCTCGCCCGGACCTGCTCACCGAACTTGAACCGTCACCGGTGAAGCATGTCACATCGGCTTTGGGGCAGCGAGCAGAGGTGAAAGCCATGCGAAAGGCCATGTTCAAGGGTGCTGATGGGAAGATGGTGGGCTTCAAGAACGTGCTTTGGGTGCCCAGCCTTGCTGCCAACCTGATTTCCGTGCGGCGATTGGCAAAGGCCGGCATGGACGCGAACTCGAAGGGAGCCAAGACTTACACCGCGAGGCTTGACGAGCGGATTCTATGGGACCTTCACGAGGATAGGGATGTCTACAACGAGATGTAGCAGATCCCTGTGGTCCCCATGCCTAAGGAGAGGCAAGTGGCAGCAAGCGTCAGCACCAAGGGTGAAGCGGTTGGTAGCGGCAATGGCGCGAACGGCCGCGCTAAGGAGATTGAGTCCAAGAAGTGCCATCTTGGAGGGACCAGCAAGTTGTGTGAACTCAAGGAGAGTGGTGCAGCAGCCAAGGAGCAGCACAAGAGTGAGGAGAACCCCAAGGCGGCAGCGGAGGAGGACTACGGAGAGAGTATGTGGGGCGCTATTGCAAGCGCGGCATTCTCCAATCCGACTTCGGCCACCGGGGAGTGTGATTGGTTGACCTTGCATCGGCGCATGGGGCATGTGGCCCTGCCCATCTTGCAGCAGCTAGTGAAGAATGAGATGGTTGCTGGCATACGTGTGAAGGGGGAGCCCGATAAGGTACTTGGCTGCCCGACGTGCATGCAAGCCAGTTTCCCGTTCTCTAGTTCGGAGGCAACGGCAAAGGCACCACTTGATGAGGTTGTGATGGACGTGGTGGGCCCCCTGAAGCTTGGAGCTGCTGGAGCTGAGTATTTCCTCACTATTGTGGACGTCTACACCCGCATGACTTGGGTGTACGTGCTGGCCAAGAAGAGCGACGTAGCTGAAACGTTGAAGACGGATTGGTTCCTGATGGTGGAGCGGCAACAAGACCGTCTAGTGAAGTCGATCCGCACCGATCGAGGAGGAGAGTTCGTGAGCAAGGAGTTTGGGTTGTGGCTGAAGAAGAATGGTATTCGACACTCCCTCACCATGCCATACTCCCCTGCAATGGATGGCATCGCCGAACGAGCGAACTGCACAATCACGGAGGCGGCACGCGGGTTGCTCATTGAAGCTGGGCTACCCGACTACTTTTGGCCTGATGCGGTGCGGAGCGCGTGTGTGGCCAAGAACAGAGCCTTGACTCATGTGGGAGCAGACAAATGGGTGCCCTATGTGGAGTGGCTTGGAAGGAAGCCAAAGGTGGATATGCTTCGGGTGTTCGGGTGCATGTGCATGGCGCTCGTGCCTAAGCATCTTCGGCACAACAAACTTGGTGCCAAGGCGGTGTGGGCCGTGCACTTGGGCATGGCTCAAAACAGCAAGGGTTGGCTTTTTTGGGACCCATTCACAAAGAAGTTCATGGTGAGCAGGGACTGCAAGTTCATGGAGAACTTCATGTACAAGGATTGGAAGGCGGAGAATGAGGCGAAGATAGGCGTGCAGTTTGGGGAGGTGAAGAGATCTGGCTTGGAGCATGTGGAGCTGCCTTTGGAGCTGAGCAGCGGCAGCACCACCACAAGGCAATCCTCCCTTGTGAATGGGGGAGAGGAGGCCAAGGATGCAGAGGAAGAAGAGGAGGAGGTGCAGCAAGTGAGCGAGCGTGCATAGACACTTCCTTCCCGCACTACGAGCGCTCCACGGATCCGTGCTACACTGCAGCAACGCCAAGGCCTTCAAGTCCCTGCAGCTGAGGAGGAAGGAAGGGGGAAGAGGAGAGTTCAACCTTCTAACATGCTGACCTATGATGCGCCGGGGAAGCCGGGCAAGACGGCCCTGGCCGGAGCGGCAATGATGGTCGGAGACGACGAGGAGAGTGACTACGAGGAGTGTGCCTTCACGTTCTTCTCTCCGGTGGATATGCCGGGAGAACCAGCAACTCTCAAGGAGGCCTTGGAGAGTAGTGATGCTGAGGAGTGGAAGAAGGCCATGGAGAGTGAGCTGAAGAGCATCGAGGAGAATGACACGTATGAATTGGTGGAGCTACCGGAGGGGCGTAAGGCGATTACGTTCAAGTGGCTCTTCAAGATCAAGTCCGATGCCGACGGCAAGATCGAGCGCTACAAGTCTAGGCTTGTAGCCAAGGGGTACCAGCAGAAGGAGAAGGTGGACTTCAAGGAGCTGTTTGAACCTGTGGTGAAGCCAATGACGCTGCAGACCCTATTCGCGGGAGCCGCCATCAAAGGATGGGTGGTGAAGCAGATGGACATCGTAACTGCGTTCCTCAACGGCATTCTTGAGGAGGAAATTTTCATGGCGCAG